TCAGGAACATCAGAAAAAATGATTTTCGAATTTCGACTTGAAACTTTACATATAGACAGATCTTACCGAGAATAGTATTTTATAAAAGTTTCTTTTTTAAAATTCGTAAATAATTTGGCAAAAATCTCCAATGAATAGATGAAGCCTAATCTAATCCTATCTTGCTTACATCAATTATTCCAAGAATTTTCAGAGATACTGAATCTACTAGATATAATTATCCCATATTCATTTTCANGGAGTACTTTGATCAATTATACTGTAATGAAGATTAGACAGAGAGTGTCCCTAGTCAACTCATTTCGTATCACAGGTACTACGTCTCCATCACTAAGAAGAACGTTGTTTCAGTCATATGTACTTCCATTATTTACATGGTTGTTTGCTCTTTTTCCCCTTTTTACATACAAACTACAAAGTGATCTATTCCATTTCTATTATATTTCTCTTAGAAGAATTTTTTATTGTCTTCATTGGCCGGACCATTTTGTTGCTTATGTTTTCGATGAAATTTCTTTAGAAGATAGATGCAGTAAATTTTTCGAACAGACGAATTTCAACCAATTTAGAACAGCTTGGTTGCATAAAGAATTCCCAATGAAGGATCTCCATCGGTCTAAGAGATATGTACAACATAAATCTATTTTGGAAAAATGTTTACAGTGGTGTTCCCCTAATCGTTCTTCCCATTCTCTTATAGACTATGACATAGGTGATATTCATACCCTAGTGGAATGTCCAGAGTCCTTTTGACACCTTTCTGTAGGTTCGTTCTTCACATATTGTATAACCCATGTTCATGACTAGGTTCTTGTTTATCATGGGATATTTTTTTGTCTTATATTTATTCTATATATCTTTCTCCTCTTCTCTCTATCTCTTTTTCTTACTTTCATTCTTTTCCTCCTATTATACTTTTTGTACTGGTAGGGTCTTAAGCCCATCAGTTAAAACCAAAATAAAAAAAAGACATGCATTAATTAAAAAATAAACAAAATAACTGATATATTTTTGTTGTGAAGATAACGATTGTTATCAAACAAAGTAAATTAAAATAATGGAGATGAACCAAGATAAGATAATATTTCTATAATAAGCTTCTAATTATTTTCACATAGTCAATAATGTTGAATGGCATTAATAAATTCTATGAGAGTTTATATTTATTCAATATTAAATAATCTTTAATTAACAGTTTAATTTCAATCAAGTGTCTATATGTCCTCTATGAAGTTTTATCGTATTTATATCAGACCTAATTTATAGAAATATATCTCAATAAAAAAATCGTTTCTCTATTGGAATTTAATTGTAAGTCTTCCTCGTTGTTTCACAAAAAGAATACATCATCCACTATCACTTAAATCTCCATTACAAAGTCAAACAGAGGAAAAAATATTATGTTTTCATATTATCAAAAACTATTTTATTGACAACTCGAATATGTTTATCTCAGATATAATTTTATTATAGTAGATAGATAAACAAATGATCTCTTAGAACCATATTTTAACTTGTTTGAACTAGATTCGACTAGATAATCAACCATTTACTTATGTTATTCAACGATATTCATCATTTTTATTAGTTAACAAAAAAAAATTAAATCAAATTCTGGGACATATCATTTTCGATGTGATTTACCTCGTATAGTTCTATTGTTATATCGTTGACTAGTTTTCTATTTCATTTATACAGATATTTAGACCATTTGGAGAATAACACATTAAAGATATAAAGAAATAAATATTTGATTTAAACATTTATCGTTTAGTTTTATTTTCAATAGGTTCATTAGAAGATTGTGATATACTGCCTTACTCTATTGAATCTTTATCAGTTTCTTGATTGTTTAATCAAGCATACAAGTTAAATAAAAAATAAAAGAAATTAAACTGGTCATTCATAGAATTTTACTCAAGATTCCGAGATCATAATCGACTATTTTGCAAAGAAAGTTTCTCTTTAACGTTAATATAACATATAATTTTTGACGGTGTAGAATCCAAATGTGAATTTTTTGTAGGAGAGTGCACAGTGAACATTTTGTATTTTTGAACAACGTATAAATGAGAGTGCAGATCAAAAATAGAAGATGTTCTGTGCATATTGCTTATGGTGTGTAGACCTGCTATTGGAAACACAATATCCAAACTGTATTTTTTCGTGTTCTAACAAGATTTTTCTTAAGAAAGTGGTAATGTACATTCAGCTAGAAATTAGCAATTAATTCATAATTTTTCACTTATATTATAGTCTTAAATGTACTTCATGATAAAAATCAGTAAAATATTATATATTATTAGTAATTTTTCTTTATTATTTTTTTTTAATTTCGTGCAAACAAATTACAAATCAAGTACCACAATCAAGCAAGTATAAAAAACAAGTTAGGTCAAATTTGGGATGCGTCAACTCAAGTCTTGGCTACCTTGTGACAAATATTCACTGATTTTTATTGGATTTTTCTGCAACAAAATAAAAATTGAAATGGATTGATAGTTTTAATTATCGTTGACCATGACTTAACTATTAGTTGATATTGTTACTTATCCAGTATGAAATTTTCTGATTAAAATCAGATTATTTTACAACAAAATCAAGATTATAAATCGATTAATAATTTCAATTATTCTACAAAGTAATCCGATTTCAATAGAGAAATTTCACACTGGATGAGTAACAATATCAACTAATAGTTAAGTCAGGGTCAACTATAATCAAAATTATCAGTCCATTTTAATTTTGATTTTGTTACAGAAAAATCCGATTAAAATCAGTGAATATTTTTTACTGGGTAGGTATCCATTCAGATGGAATACTAGTCCCACTGGGCGCTGGTTCGACTGGATTTTCGTATTGACATCATTTTATTGAAGTATATAACTTAGAGATTCTAAGACAGTGACCAATAGGTTTTCGAGGGTGAGAAACTCGAATTTGAATTCTATTTTCCTCGAAATCATATTGGTGGGCTGAGAACCAATAAAAATCGAGTTTCTCAAAAAGTTATTTCTGATAAGTATTTCCGAATGGGAAGTTCAAAAATTGCTGTTCTGAGCGTGTTTTCGTTCTCTCTTGCGCATGGCAATAAACGCTTCGAACAAGTAGCTCTGACCAAGTTCGCCTGCTGGCGTACGGCGGGTTCAGTTAGATCCGAACGTTTTACGCTCTTGTTCACGTGTTTCGAATGCGTTTTGATTCCTTTCGCCTTGGTATGGATAATACCATCATTCTCATCAAAATCTTATGGCGTGCCAGGAACCAATAGAAATGGAGTTTTCAAAATCCTCTTCGAAATACCTATCGGAAACAATTTTTTCAAAACCTAAATTTCTATCGATTTTTCGTCCACCTACAGAACTTTGAGGGAAATTGAGCTCAATGTTGAACTTCCCGTCCCGAAATACTTATCGGAAACAAATTTTTTTAGAAACTCGACTTTTATTGGTTCTCGACCCATCAATATGATTTCGAGAAAAATAGAGTTAAAATTCGGGCTTCTCACCATCGAAAACCCATTGATCACTGTCTTGGAATCTCTAAGTTATATACTTAAATAAAAAGAATGTCAATATGAAAACCCAGTCGAACCAGCGCCAAGTGGGACTAGCATTCCAGTCGAACGATACCTAGTCGATACTAAAGTTGGTGCATCCTGACTTTCACTTAACATTTCTTATTATAGATGATTGTGGTACTTGATTTGCAATTCGTTTAAACGAAATAAAAATAATAATAAAGAAAAATTACTAATAATATAAATTATTTTACAGATTTTTATCATGAAGTACATTTAAGACAATAATATAAGTGAAAATTTATGAATTATTTGCTAATTCCTAGCTGAGTGCACATACCAACTTTCTTTTCTTAACAGATATTGATGATAAACATATGCAAACATGTTCAATATGACGATAGAACTTAAAATAATTTATTTAATTAGTTACATGTTATTTTTCTTATCTAATGAACAAATCTCGTATGATATTATATTCCTATCAATTCACGGAATTACATATGTTTTAAGAAATGTATAGTGGAACTTTTATTGTTTTTTTTTGTTTACTGTTGAATATTTGACATGAATATAAAAAAAACAAAAGATATCGTTGCGATTTTAACCCTTTACCCCCCATTGGCAATTGGAATTGCCATTTTTAGAAACACCGTAGAAAACTTAGCATCTGAATTATTAAGAATCTTCTTCGATATTTTCTGTAGGAAATTCCCTAAGCTACCGATTGGCAAGAAAGAGAACCTTTAATCATAACTCTGTTTCCAAGACACAAAACTTCCAAAAAAGAAGAATAGACGATTATTTTAAAAAAGGACCCTTTATTTTTCTTTTGTTGTTTTTATTCATGAACAATGTATATCTTATTGATATTTTATGTGATAAATGTTGCCGAAAGTTGCTGCTGTTGAACGAAATGTTTTTCAAAGTCCTCAAAAAGATTAGTCGAACATGAGGTTGACCTACATGCAATGGCAAATCCAATTGCCATTGGGGGGTGAGGACATAAAAAAAGTTTTAGAAATTCTCGTCTAAATGCAATAATTTTTTGCGTTGACATACAAATAGGTAAACAGACTGCTATTATCTATAAAAATGAGCATCATTTGTTGTTATATAAATTTTTGGAGCAGATGTAGATGGATGTAAGGATCAAATTGGACAAGAACATACTCGAACTACACTCACATCAACACCAATACTCACACCGTAATTCTCTCAGATCTTATCATATTTGAAGTTGAAGAACAGTGTATCAATAGTTATGCTCTCTACTTATCGGTTTAGTTATTTCGAGAAAATCAGAGATTATCTGCATACGAACTTACTTCAGATGATCATATGTCGTAGGAAAAATAAGAATATTTTTTATGTTTTAGTCTTTTATTGTTAGAATACAACAATATATGATAATTTTTGCGAAACCAATAAACTATTTTCAAAAAAATAAAAAAAGTGGTTTTCATGTCCTTACCCCCGAATGGCAACTGGAGTTGCCAAATCACCGTGCGTACATGTGAAGGACCCTGGCCAATCTGATGATACTATTGAACTACTAAAGATAACAGTACTACATTTCACTAATTGTTTTATTAGTGTCTTCTCTGGAACCGTTGTGGAGGGTAAAGGGTTAATTATATAAAAAAGCATAAAGGCATGTTTAGTGGTATTTATAAAAAATTTATCCGATAAAAGAAATATTTGATTATCAGATAATGTGCTATTTAGTAATTAAATAGTTAAAATGAAATAAACTATTCCAGTTTAAACTTAAGTTTTTAGAAGTAATTTTTGATATCTATGTAACAATTCTTGAAGTTTTAATAAAAATACAAAAATTGAAGCAATATTTCTTTCTACGTACAATCAATATGTATTTCCATGATAAAAAGAAAACAGAATGTTAATTCTATTATATCATAGTGTATATAGTATAGGAACAAATACCAAACAACTTAATACTCGTATATTCTTAATAAAAACATTATTTTAAATTTTCTATTTTTATCTAAAATTTTTCGATATGACTCTTGAATTTATTTTTATTCTTTTAGCCAATATCTTCATATTTAAATGTCAGTCTTCAATCAATTGGTGATCGAACGATTAGTTTATTTTCTCGTAGTTTTAATTTTCTTCAACAATCATCTTCATCACCAGTATGTCCACAAGAAAAAAATCGTTATGATTTATCATTAACTAATGGAAATGATTATGAATATAATAGTAGTTTACAATCAGGTGTATATCGAAATCAATCACGTCGTAAATATCAAACATCATCATTAAGAAATCCATATCGACGATCAAGTACAAATTTTCCTGTTCGTGGACATGAAGCTATGTTTTTACCAGAATTTTCAATTAAAGGAAAAGTTACTGAAGCAGATTTTGATGTAAATTATAAATATTTAATTACTTCTTTTTTTTTTTTACGATTGAGATTTAATGTTTTTTTTTTTATTTCTGAAAATCTAGGTACTTGATATTATTGCACGAGGTGCATTTGGAAATGTAATAAAAGTTTGTTCAATACATGATAAACAAATTTATGCAATGAAAATTATGAGTAAATCACAAATTGTTAAAGATAATGCTGTTCAACAAGTCAAAGGTAAATATTCTAAGTATAGAATGTTTTCAATTGAGATTGCTGAAAAGAACTCTTGTCTCATATTCTATCAGGAAAATTTGAACAAATATATATGTGATTTTGTTTGCTTAACGTTAAGATGTGAGAAGATAATTACGTAAATCATGTCTTGAATTATAGATCTGAACTATATGTCAATATTGAAATGAAATATGGTTTTTATGTATTTATTTTTGAGTGTTTTAAGATAATTTTATCTTTTTTTTTGAATATTAGACAAAAAGTCATCTTGAGTTCTCCTTCCTTCGACTAGTGAAAATCGCAGGTGACTAGCTGCTATCGTTATTGAGCTTACATTCATCTCTCTCTAATTCGAACCGTCACGGTCGAGTCGTTGCGTGGTTTGACACATGCTTACAGTGTTCAAACCTGAGTATCATCTGTCATGGAATGACTTTGGATAAGTCACTGACGAATGTTTGTTTCGGATGAACCGCTGTGAGATGTACTTGAAATCTAACAAAGAAATATTTTCAATTGATCGATTGCTTTCTCGCTAAAAACTCGTGAATTCTTGGTTATTGATTATACTGATTTCGAATATGACCATGAGAAATCTTCTTAGGTCTTCATCTACTAGTTTTTATAGAAAATCAGAAAATAAAGACTCAAGGCGATTTCTTAAGGGTTATTTTGGTGATCAATTGTTATGATTCAATAAAATAATTTAATATTTAGACGAAGTAACAATAGCACAATCTTGTCTTTCTCATCCATTTATTGTTCATACATATTATTATTGGCAATCACGTCGTTATTTATATATTATAACTGATTATGTTGGAAATGGTGAATTATTATCATTATGGTTACGTATACGTCGTTTTCCTGAAATAATTGTTAAAATTTATATAGCACAAGTAGCTATGGTACTTGATTATTTACATAATAAAGGTATTATATATCGAGATGTCAAAATGGAAAATATTCTGCTGGATGAAAAAGGAAATATTCAAATAATTGATTTTGGTTTATCCAAATGGCTTTCATTAGGTCAACGAACAACAACAATATGTGGAACATTACAATGTATATGAAAATTTATAAATAAAGATTTTTTTATCATTGTTTTTTTTTCTTTCTATGATGTAGATATTGCACCTGAAGTACTTAGTGTTCGACCATATGATCATCGTGTTGATTGGTGGAGTTTAGGTATATTAATGTATGCATGTTTATTTGGTGAATATCCTGTCTCAGCAACAAAAGATCATTTATCCATGGCAAATAAAGTATTAAATCATAAATTTAATTTACCATTAAATGAACTTGAAAATAAAACAGATGTTAAAGAATTACTCTATAATTTATTAGAAAAAAATCCCAATCAACGTTTATGTTCATTAGATGAATTACGTCAAACATCATTTATGTCAAATATTAATTTTGATCGTGTTTATTCTAAATCATATTCTCCTTTATTAATATTAATGAACGCAAGACTTGAATGGCATGATGAGCTTAAAAAACATTATTGTTATTGTAAACAAGCAAGAATAAATACAAATGGAAATATGTATTATTCATCGCCACCATGTCAAAACAAAAATCAATATGAGAATATTGATACTCACCTGTTTTCAGAATGAATTCAATTTTTTTTGTATATTGCTTTAATAATCTTTGTATCGTTTTTTTCTTTTTTTTTTGATTTTTTGTATATAAAATAAAGAAAACAAGCCAATTACTTGTTTCTTTAACGACAGCTAACACAAGTCAATATGGATGGCTATTTAATGATAAGGAACAATTGAGAAATGAAAGTTCACAATGACATTTCAGCAAAACACAAAATAACCGTTCTTTAAAACAAAGCTATGCACGTAAATATCTATTCAAAGACGACGATTTTTGTTTTACCAAAGTGTAATATTTCAACCTATTGTGCAAATGTCTTGGTACAAAATATTCAAATAATTTTTGGACTACTTAAGAGTATCTTCCTCCTTATCTGGGTTTCTGGAAAATGGCTCATCAGAAAATTTTCAAATTTTTAGGACAGGTAGATCTTGATGAATAGAACAAAAGTTGCTTAAACTCAAAGTTCCAGCATGCTGTCTTCTATGAGATACTAAGATCATAATGACGGAAAAATGAGTCTGATTTTCGCTTTCATTTGTTCGAGATATTAAGTTCGATCGAACTTAAAATTTTTTTAAAGATACTGTTTGGGATAAATCCCATTCTATTTTTCGCCCTTCGGATAAAAAAGTCAAAATGTCGAAACAACCCATAAAAATGCATGGTTTTTTCTGAATGAAGCTTTTTTTGTCAGAGCTACCAAAAATCAGCAGAACAATATTTTTTGTAACAAGAAAACGTAATCATCTCAAAAAGTGTACAGTATATATGAAAAATGTTCAGCTCTATTGGACATACTACGTCGAAGAAACGGGGGGGGGGGAGGGATATTTGCACTTTTTCTATAAAAAAGCTGGCTCTAAGAAAACGCGAAACAATGTACAGTTTTCTCTATTTCCTTTAGATAAATTTGATTTCTTCTCGAGTTTTTTAACGTTCTAGGGCAACTTTTGAATCCCAAATTGTACTTAATAGATAGATATTGATTACTTGTCTTTCCCCATGGTACACAAAAAAAAGCAAGTGAACGTACAAATCTCCTATGAACAGAAACGTATGACAATGTTATCACTTTTCAACAAATTATAGAGACAAAAAAAAGAAATGTTTTGCTCAAACGGATAAGTGCAGTATCTAAGGTGCTGACGTACTGATTTGATTTTGGAAAGTAAGACTGAAATTCAAGGAATAGCTAGAACAGTAGTAATAGTTCTAATGGGTATTTTTTTCAATGAAATCAAAGCAATTTTTACGAAAATAGCGAGTTCTTATTAAGTTTTATGTAAAGTTTTCGGTGTCGAGGAAGCTCAAACCACAGATGGTTTGTCAGAATTCTTGGGTTTGGTTCTTCGATTAGCAGAGTTTCATTTTAAAATAATACATGAGTTTTATTAAAACTACCTGAACCACGATAAATAGGTTTTGTCTAATCGAAAAGAAACACGAACTGGAGAATTTCAACCAGTCATGTGTAGATTAGGATTCTCTGGATTCGATAAATCCTTGGTTTGACGTCATAAAAATTAGCTATGTTCTAAAAATTGTGTTGTATTAAGCGAAACAATCGATTTTGAATAGAATAACACTGATCCCTAGCTATAACCTCAATATTATCTAATAGAGAAAACATTTCTAAACAAAATAAGATATCTCCAAGAGGTCTAAAAGGCTGTTTTCTGTCATTTTTATGAAAATATATATGATTTTACTGTGTTCCACACTTTGGAGCATTTCGTACAAGGAGTGAAATTCTCTGAAGATAGGTGGCGAAGAGCTCTAAGATATCTTATTTTGTTCAGAAATCTTTTCTCTATCAGATGAACTCGTTTTCGAAACTCTTTTGATACACTCTAGAAAATTAATTTGGAGAGTCTTAGTTTTTCAAACACCTTCCTGTGCTTCTAAACTATCTACCTCCACTTAATCAGACAATGATATTATATTTGAACATCAAGAAGTATCTTTTGACTATTTATCATAAGAAATTCGCACCACATGCCAGATTGGTACTGATTACGAGGTCCATTCAACTCGAATGATATATATCATTGAAAGAAAACAACTTATAGTATGTTAAAGTAAAAAATCCTAGCGTACGCAGGTACACTTAACAAGTGGCCATGTCAATGGATGGCCATATAGATGGAGCGATCTGCCATTGTGTTCATCAAATGAAGCTTAAATCAAGTGGTAATGTTTAAGAAGACTTATTTGAACTGTCAACTTTTGTATATGACCCGGTCATTCTTTGGTAGACTGGCATCTTCATTGTTTGTTTTTTGGCAAGACCATTGTTTTTCTTCTATCAACTAGAGATAGACGTTCATCATCACTCAGCCCTTGACTTAGATAGTATGATAAAATAAATCTTCGAATTTTCAAAACACTGTCCCAGTTAAGCAATTGGAATACTAAAAGGAGCAACGGGCGATCTTCAACCGTCTAAAGTGCTCTACAACACATAACTAGCATATTTCATTGAAAATCTCTATGCAAAACACATGACTGAAATAATATCTTGACAACAACATCACTTATATACAATCGATAATCTTTGACGATCTACAAACCAATGATCCACTATCTATGGTTAGCATTGACACAAAGTTAGAAAAGTGATCACTGTATGTTTGAAAAATGCGTATTTAGTTTATTATTCTGATCCATATTGACGCGCACAATCTTACGAAAAGTCATGGCTTCGAACACCATATAGTATCTGCAAACATTTATGTATAAAAAAGAAAGTAGCTTTACTGCAGTCTTTTAGGCATTGAATGTCATTATCATGCACGAATAACTCACATTTTATTCGCTCTATATTCCTAGCACTGCTAGTGTGTTTGCATTATCGGAACTTGATTTTTATTCTTCCATACTTTACTTATATATTATAAAACAGTTCAATCGATAGCTTATTGAAAAGCAACGTATTTATTTCCATCATTCTTCATTTTTAGACGACAACTTTCTTTCCGCACAGTTAACTTACTGCATGATATATGTGGTCCCAGTTATTTAAACTAATTAGTAACCTACTTCATTCAGAAAAGTCATAAATATAAACATACAGATGCTTCAAACGAACTGAAAACAACTAGGATGCGTTGCATTCTTCAAAGATACCCTCTAAAAGTCCAAGCATAATCTTTGTCGAATGACTCCATTGCCTCCACAGCCACAAAAATATTGCTCGACCAATATTAGCAAACTGAAAGACACCAAAACACTACTACATCAATATATAATGACCACTGAAACAAAAAGCAATTACTTTCTTATCAAAAAGTTTCCTGATCGCCAAGCATTTCATTATTCCCGTCCCCGCTTCTTTCATTCTCTTTCAACAGCCCTTCGCGATTTTTTTTTTGAAACCTCTAACTTTATAAGCGAAAGTCATACGCTCAACCAGTAGAAAAACAACTAACAATTTCACCACACCGAGGCTACGGTACCGTAAGCGAGCCGAGGTCTTTTGAGCATCTAATTCAGCATGAGCAAACATGCTTTCACAGTCAGTGATGATAGTCTTCGTTTCCCATGCACTATTGTGCATATCTCACAGTACGGCTGACTAAACAAAGTATACATCTTAGAATATAGTTCAGTTCTCTCACTGTCAAATGGAACACTTTGTTTCTAATGATTCAATTCTGAGATCGAATATTGTCTTCACACAAGCAATATAACCTTTTGTCTTCTTCTCTGATCTCGAAAGAAAGCTTGTGACTCGTTTAGCGGATCGAAGATCACATGGCGAAGGAACATTACTCATAAAACTTCTATTCACCTGCTTTGCTCATTTCAAAGTAAAGATTGTGACTAGATTAGCTGATCCATGATCACAAGGCAAAAGAATATTATTCATAAGACTTCTGTTCACCTCTTTTTCGCACTTTGAAGCAAACGGTAAGACTCAGTTAGCTGATCGAAGACCACGTAACAACGAAACATTCACAAGCAGACTTCTGTTCACCTTTTTTTCTCACTTCAAAGAAAACGTTGCCACTTACTCAGCTGAACGATGATCACATGGCAAATAAAGATTCTTAACGATATTTTTGTTCATCTCTTTTGCTCAATTCAAAGCAATTGTTGCCACTCGATTAACTGATCGATGATCACACAATAAAGCAACATTCACAACGATACTTCTGTTCATCTCTTTCGCCCACTTTCAAGCAAAGGTTGCAACTCAATTAGCTAATTGAAGATCACATAACAAACGAAAATCGATAACCAGACTTCTGTTTATCATTTTTGCTTGCTTCTAAGAAAAGATTGCAACTTAGTCAGGTGATTGAAGATCGCAGAGTTAAGGAACATTAATAATGATACATCTGCTCACCTCTTTTGCTGACTTTGAAGCAAAGGATCCGACTCGGTCAGCTGATCGATGATCACATGGCTAAGGAACTTTTATAACGATACAGCTGTTCGTCTCTTTCATACACTACTAAGCAAAGATGGCGAGTTGATCAACTGATAGAAGATCATGTGTCAAAGAAACATTCATCACCAGACTTCTGTTCACGTCTTTTGCTCACTTTGAAGCAAAACTTGTGACTCAGTTACCTGGCTGAAGATCACAAAGCAAAGGAGTATGCATAATGATACTTCTGTTCACCTATTTTGTATACTTCATAGCAAAGGTTTCGCCCAAGTTAGCTGATCGACGATCAAATGGCAATGAAATGCTATTCATAAGACTTCTGTTCATCGGTTTTGCACACTTCTAAGCAAAAGTGATGACTCGATTAGCTGATCGAAGATTAAATGGCAAAGGAACATTGATAATCAGACGTCTGTTCATCTATTTAGCTCACTTTGAAGGAAAGCTTGCGACTTAGCTAGTTGAGTGAAGATCACATCACAAAATAACATTACTGAATAGATTTCTACTCATTTCTTTTGCTCCATTCTAAGCAAAGGTTGAGATCCAGTTAGCAGATCGAAGATCACATGTCGAAAGAACAATCTTAATCATACTTATGTCCGTTTTTTTTGC